GCCCAGAGGGGACCCGAGGCCCGGCGATGATGCGGCGTCCGACGACGACCGCCGGGGACACGGCGCGGGCCCGGGATCGGGGATGCGCGGCAGCCAGGGCCCTGGGGTGCAGCCCGAACACCCTCTGGCCCTGCAGCGGCCGCCGGGAAACCCACCTAGGCACGGGCACCGCTGTGCGGAAGCCGGGCTGGAGAGCCTGTGCTGGACAGCCCGGACCGCCCCCTGGGGTGGAGGGACTCAGGAGTCCCCACGCGGCTTCAGATGAAGGACCAAGTGATCTGGCCTTTGGGCCTGCCTTGGGGTGTAGAGGATAAATATGGGGAAAACCCTAGAGGGGGAGCTGAAAATCGGACAGAGGAATGCAGTTTTATGAGAGTGGGATGGGAATTGGGTGTTTGAATTGGTTTTAGGCTGCAGAAAACAATGCAAGAGAAATCATTTATGGTTTAAAATGAAGCATGCAGAAGAGGTTTAAATATTCTATTAGTAAATGCTCAAAGTTTTTTTTGGATGCATGACTATGTAAGGATATTCTCATCTGAGCATGAACAGTGATATTATGCAGCTAAGATAATTCGAAATGTGAACACACTTGCAGTTTTGTTTCATTAACATGACTCGGAAATATTCTTTTTGATGAGAAGTGTGATATGAGTTCCCACTTGGAAGGGAAAACTAACAAATTAAATTAATACATGGTCTTTTGTGGGTAAAAAGTAGCATGCAGATTTAATATGTATAAGTAAAAACAATGGATTTAGAGTGTGAAACTCTTTAGTTCTAAATTTTTACTTTGCTATCAGTTGCTTAAGATTTAGAATTAAACTTTTGTTGTTTTTGAAAAGGTATACATACAAAATTCACAGTGTCGATATATAAAAAAACAAAACTTCTCAAATTACTTAAAATGTACTTGTCAGAGAGAATTATTTTAACAAACGTATTCTAGATGTCTGTCTATAGCTATTTTTATATGCCCTCCAACTTAATACAAATTATAATTTCATACAATCCTAGAGTCAGAAATTTCACATACTCTCCGATTATGTTGTATTGAGTCTTGTTTTCTGTGTGCCATTATTTAAGCTGCCTTTTACAATGATGTTAAAAGGGCTTTCCTATTATATAGAAGAGACTTAAACATACACTGACAGCCATGTAGTATTGAGCAGTGAGGATTTGGTATACAAATGTATTTACCTTCTGGGTAGTAATGATTCTGTTCTTTAAAGAGCATTCACAGGTTTGTTACTGGCTTCATAAATATAAACATTTTCTTGTTTTCTCTTGTAGACTGAGCTGCTGAAACTTCCGTTTTCAAGATGAAGTTTTTATTGGCAGTCTCCTTTTTAATTTTAATGTCCTTGTGGGTTGAAGAAGCCTATGCTAAGGAGAAGTCCTCCAAGAAAGGGAAGGGGAAAAAGAAGCAGTATCTGTGCCCATCGTATGTCTTTCTATCTTATATCCTTCTATAGAGTAATGTTACTACAGTTTTGTTATAGAAGCAAGCTGGTTATTCAAATACCTCTCCACAGTACCTTTCATGTCAAATCCACTTCTGTCGCGCTAACAGATGTCAGAGCAGGCAGAGGCTTGAATGTGACAGGTCCCTTCCGTGAGGTAAAAGGGGCCTTTACTCAGGCTCATGGTTCCTATGATTTCTGTACATCATTTACAAAATTGGAAACAAGTTACTGTGGCTTTCTTGTGCCAAGTGCATAACTTTCGTTGGCTTCTAAGATTCCATGTGTTGAGTAAATACCAGTTCAAAAAGTTGATTTAAAAATAATGTAAAATTAATATTCATTAAAAACAAGATAGCTCAGCTATGATCTTGAGGTCTGTTTAGTTTGTTTTGATACATGATGGAAGGAAATTTACATGGTAAATCACATTTGTGTTTCAGTATTTGTTTGTAAAGGACTTATAGGAGAAATTTGGGGGTATTTTTCAAAAACTGTGACAAAATGTAGAGACACCTGAACAAACAAAATCCAGATACATCCCTCTGAAAGTCAAAGGTTTTTCTAGAAGCCCGGGTTGTTTGATAGAAGGGTTAACAATGGCAAATAAAAGCATACCATATCAAACAGTTACAGCAGATAAATGGTAAATAAATAAATCATTTTCACATATTGCCACATGTCTTATGTAATAATACAGAACATGCAGTGCTATGTAATGGAAGTCAATCTGCTGTTACAGGTCATTTTTCAGTAGAGATTTTTGAATGTCATATTGATCACAGACATTTGATCCCATCAGCTTTATTTAGATGTAGACAATTGTAGTTTTATAGGTATTCTGTAAGAAACAAAGTATAGTTAAAGAATAATATTTTATCAGAGAAAAACATCAGGATTGTTATTTTGCAATTAACACTTTGATGAATGTGTGAAACTGAAAGTCCAGAGGCAGTTTTGGAGAGACCTAACATCTAGTGTTGATACAGCTTCCTGTGCAGGGGGAATCCCCTATTGTGTCTTTACCTTATTTAATAGCCTTATGCCAGGGCCAATATGGTGTAATGAAGGATAGTCTCAAATTATATACATGTCCCTTTATGGCCCCTGCACAGTTGGGTGTTGGCTGGGGATGTGGGACAGGCTCAGGCATGATGACTGTTCACTGCCATTACGACTCTTAACCAGTGCAGTTTGTGTCATAAATGGGAGATCAGCATTTGAGGGAACTGGATGACGTGGGGCCATCTCTCCACAAGTGAAAGGATACATTTTCAAGTTCTAAATATTCTTTGTTGATATAAGCTGGCCTTATATCTTGTAGTCATGTTAGCTGTGTGAGGGGGTCAAACAGTTCTCGGCCAGTCAGATTTCTCTCTGAGCAAGTGACAGGGCTCTTGTTCCACCTTCCTCTCGGGCCCTCATCATACTTCCTCTCCCCCATCAAAAGTCATAAAGGGTTTTGGAAGAACAAAATAAGTCTTGTTGTTACCATCTATCTTAGAGTTGTATTCAGAGAACATAATTCTTTTTTCACAAGATTGCCTTGTCTATATTGATGGATATGTATGGTGTTCTTTAAGACTCAAGTTTTTACTTATTTATTATTTTTGTTTTATGTGTATACATGTATTGCCTGCATGTAGGTAAGTGCACCCGTGTTGTACAGTGCCCGTGGAGGACAGAAACTGTCAGATCCCCTGGAACTGGAGCTACGGACAGTTGTTAGCTGCCATGTGGGTGCTTGGATTCGAACCCAGGTCTTCTGCAAGAACAGTCAGTATTCTTAACTGCTCAGCCATCTCTCCAACCCCAAGACAGTTTTTAAGTAGCATATAGCAATATAGTTTCTCTTGGCAAATGTGAAAATTATCAAGTGGAAGAAGGTGCCACTTACATCTGTTGAGCCCTTGCCACAGTACTTTATATATTACGTGATGAATTGACAATCTGTCTTTGCAAATTTCTACCATAGTCTTAAATATATTTTGTTTTATATTTATAATTATGAGACTAGATAAAAGTTTTATTAATACTGGCAGGGATGATCCCATCAAGTACCTGTTATTAGAAGGCTGTATGTGGGGCTGGTGAGACAACTCAGCAGGTAAAAGTGCTTGCCAACAAGCATGAGAACCTGAATTTGATCCCTGAACCTGCATGGCAGAAAGAGAGAACCAACTCTCTAAAGTTGTTCCCTGACCTCCATATACATGCTGTGGTACATGTATATACACACACAAACACACACACACACACACACAAATAAATAAATAAAAAATAAATAAATAAAAAGATACTTTAAAAGTAAATGTGCCTTGGAGAATTAAAGTTGTATAATTTTTGGTTGAACATTTGCTTAAAAAAATCTCTCTCCATAAATGGGAATTTATAATCCCAGCACTTTGGGGATTGATGCAGTAGGATTGGAAGTTCAAGGTCACCCTGGACTAGATAGTGAGACCCAGCCTCAAAAATGAACCAAAGCAAAACAAACAAACAAAAAAAACCCAAACAAATCTTACTGAAAACTGAAAGATTTAAGAACCTAAGAAGATTATTTCTCTGGCTGTGGTGTGATCATCATATCAAAG